CTTTGGATGTTGGAAATACCCTTCTTGTTTCTTCTTGCTTATGTTCTGATGTTCTAAGACAACTCCTACCCTTCTTCTCTGACACGGTCTCACTGAATAGATCAGGCTGGCCTCAAACTCAGAGAGATCCATTTGCCTCCTGAGTGCTGCAGTTAAAGCGGTGCACCACCCTGCCTGGCATTCCATCCTTTTGGATATGCTCTCTGTACGAGCGGTTTTCTTGCCTTTCCCAATATTTAGTAGATACGCACATTCCTTGGCTGGTAGCCTCTTCTTTGATCTTCAAAGACAGCAGTGGCAAGTTGAGTCTTTACCCTTCCATTTTGATACTGAAGCCCCCCTCCCTCACTCCAATCTCTTCTACTCTTAAGGGCTTTTATTATCACTTTTGGCTTACTAAATTAATCTAGGTTAATTTTCCAGGGTTAAACTTAGCTATATAGCAACCTCTGCTGCCTGTTGTCTGTGATGTGACATATGCAGCAGTTCAAGAGTTGGTACGCTGAGGGATTTGTTGTGGTTCTGCAGTTGCTAGCTAGTCTGGGTCTTGGAGTTTTTCAAATTAGCTTGAGAATTTGATAAGGTATAGATAGATAATAAACTATCTAGAAAATGATCAGTGACAAAGCTAAAGGATGAAAGAACTATTGACCTATGTTAGAATGGAACTCCTAAGTTTTACCACAAATGAAAAGCCTCATCTGACCAACATATGCCATCAGTGAATGTTTATTTCCTCAATTTCAAACAAGGGTGCTTAGAGTCTGCCAAGAGATGAGTTATTTCTAGGGTAATCTTCTACTCTTGTTGAAGACAATGGGATAAGCTATGCATGCTTTTCTTTTCTTTTTTCTTTCTTTTTTTTTGGTTTGTTTTCCTTTTCAATTTTGTGGTTTTTCAAGTTTGGAATTGTGTTTTAAAATGTTTGCTTTAGAAGATCATTTACTTGCTTGTGTTTTATGTCTTGCCTTTTCTTTGAGAACAAGCATCTGTGAAGCCTAATAACACAGGCAACTACAACAGAATTCTTGAAGGAAAAGGTCATAAATTAATGGTCTGCCTCCACTCAAGAAATTCTGAAAAGCCAGAGGCTTTGTGGAAATTGATCCTCTCAGTAGAGGGGTGGAGAACATTACATTTGTTACATGAGGAGTTCCAGGAAGATGGCTCTTGCCTTTGTCTCTATGACTAGTGTCTTGACTGAGGTTGACATTCTGGGAACTGTGACTGCTTGTTAACCAGTTTCTGGATTTATTGCTATGGCTACTGTTGCACACAGGTACCCACTCAGTCAGTACTGTTTCTTGGGAGCTTTGTGGTAGTGTTTTTACTTAAAGTCTGCATCTGCTCATATTATTTATTCTCAATTAATTAGAGACCTTTGGGTAGCATTTCTTGGTTTCTTTCTTCAGAATTGAAAATACTATGGAAGGTATTGTCTAGCTACTTTGGTTTCTGGTGCCTTGTTCATAGTGCTACAGAAGATACCATAGTGCATTAGCAGATATACAGACATTGATGATAATGCCTAAGCTAACACCATGGTTCAGTTCTGAGAGTAATAGATGAGTAACACAGATGTTTTTATGATTCCTTAATTGTATGCCATCTGTACTAAAATGAGTGAAAGAAAAAAGTAATGGCATACAAGTTTACTTACTAAGGAAGAATGTGAATGCTTGAAGTTAGCAATACATTCAGTTGAGCCAGGAGGTGGAGCACGCCTTTAATCCTAGCACTTGAGAGACAGAAGCAGGTGGGTTTCTAAGGTCCTACAGAGAAGGCGCCAGGACATCCAGGGCTACACAGAAAAGGGAAAAACAGAACAAAACCACGTTCAATTGAATAATTTCTTCTAGCAAATTCTACATCTTAATAAAAAGGAATGTCACAAGAACAAAGTGAAATTATAGATTGTGGTCCATGGGTAGGACAGAGTATCCAGGGGTTTCTCACTTGTCCTTGGGGGTGATTGGTGCTGATGCTGTGTAGGTGGAAGGGAAGATGGCAGAGGCTCCAGGGAAGGACTGAAGTCTCTTGGAGGAGAGGAGAGAGGTTGGGCGATGCAGCTGTTTTTTCTTTTCCTTACATTTATTTGTGTGTCTGTGTACATGTGGATGCCATTGTGTACTTGTGCAGGTCAGAGGACAACTATAGGCAGAATATCAGGCTCTAGTTTCTGAGCTGATTTCCAGCCCTAGAACATTCTTTACAAATGTGAACATGGTATAATTAACCATTTGTAGAACTGTACAGCTTTAAAGAGTTGAATGGTTTATACAGTTGGACTTGTAATGAGTAATAATTCTCTGAGCCTATACATTATACATAATATATGTAGAGAAATTCAAGTATATTTGGAGGAAAGCTGCTTAGAATATACCTTGCAGTGGTTTTATAAAGGTTTATTAATATTTTTTAAGTTATGTGTGTGTGTCCCTGTGTGTAGGTATGTGCTCATGAGTGCAAGTTCCTGTGGATACCTAGAGGTGTCAGATCTCTTGGAGCTGGAGTTAGAAGTGGTTGCAAACTACCAGACATGGGTGCTGAGAACCACAGTTGGGTCCTCTGAGGGAACTGTGTTCTCTTAACCACAAGCCATCTCTCCAGGCCCTTCACACTGATTTAAAATATTTGATGCCTACAAAGTAGGAATAGATAGCATGCTGGGAGACAGAGGTGAAACGGTCAGGTTGTTGTGAGTTCAAGGCCAGCCTAGGCTACAAAGTGAGTTTGAGGCTAGCTCAGGCTTAGGCTACATAGTAAGAAGCATTTCAGAGTGCCTCATCCATGCCATAGATAGTAACTGTTACCTGATTCATTGTTGTCCTAAGAACTAATGGAATGAAATGCTCAGATTAATACCAACATGCTGTTAGCATTCACCAAACATTATTTTTATAAGTACACTATTTTTTCATAAAATGGCTGGTGTAGAAAAGAATCATTGGCAAATATTAAAAACAAAAATATGATTGTTGAAATAAGCTCAGTTATTGGGACAAAAGAGAAAAATCATAAAAGCTGGGGAATAGCTGGTAGGGTATTTCATGGATGAGCTTGGGTTTGGCTTCTTCCTGGATGCTAGCCACACTGGCTGCACTGAGGGATAGAGGGCTGTGGGAAATGCTCTGAAATGCTGAGGAAATAGTGATTTGGAACCTCAAATTCTATTTTTAGCCAAACCAGCTTCCAAAGTTAAGAACCAAAAATACATTTCAGGAATGCGAGGACAGAAACAATTTTCAAAAGGAAGGACTAACAGAAGGGCACAAACAAAGAGGTCAGCAAGCTTGGGGTCAAGTCTAAATATTAACAACATTTCTGTCATGTTGAAGAATGTGATAGAGAAGTAAACAGTCTTTGGAGCAGCCGAGTGATCCATACAAATTCAGTAAGACGGGTGGTGGTAAGAGGCATACAGTTTGGGCATCATCTTACTTTTTAGTAATTAAACTTAAATTTAAACCGGAGTCTTCCTGTTTACACAGTGGTAGAATTAAGAGCTGTTTTGGTTGGTGGAACTTAATAATTGAACTCAATGTTGAAGGAGTTGTGTGGTTCAACAGACTTACCAAATAAAGAAGGGTAAAAAAGCAAACGAATGAAATGGAATGTTCTGCTTCCAAGCCAGTCAAGCTGAGGTCAGCATACTGTCTGCCAAGGGATAGGAAGTCCATGTTTCATATTATGGGCAATGCTGTCCCTGTGGCAGCCATACTGTCCTGGTGGCACCTAATGCTTCCTGACATTGTTAGACCGAAATAGCTATAGATGGTATACATAATTAAATGGGATGGCTGAGTTCTAGGAAAGCCTGGATTTTAGAGAACAAGAGAATTAAGGCAAAAAATCCTTAATTTCAACTGAAGACAGGGAAAAATGGGAGAAGGGGAACACTAAGAAGGATAACAGGAAAACATAAAAAAATATTAGGAAATCTTACCCCTAGATGTCTAGTAGAGATAAGAGATTCTCAGATTGGTTTTAACCTAAATTATAAAGGAGTAGGGGATAGGTAAACCATGGCATATCTGTATTTCAGAACAGCACTGCTTGTTTGCAAGGTATTGCCCATCATCCCTTCTGCTGAGATGAGTGTTGTGGTTATTGTGAGAGTCAGAGAGGAGGATTCTCAGTGGCATCATGGAGATGAACCTGTACATGGGTTGGCAAGACTGAGGACCAAAGTGCTTTGTTAGGAATCAGAAAGAACTCTGTGTTTGGCTTAGCAGCAAGAACTTTTGGCCTTTACTACCTATGATGTCTTTATTGCCTAACTACCTTTGCTTCACAGTTTACTTTCCAATGCTCCTAGGTAAAATTATAAGACAGAATGGACATTCCAAGCTTTTCATGCTTTATGAGCTTCTTCAGAGACTGCATAGACTGTCCTGAGTCAGGTATCTCCCACAAAAGCTCAAGAGGTTGTGGCCAGGGGAGGATGGTCAGGGAAGGCTGGTGGCGAAGGCTGGGTAGGCATCTGAAGCACAGGTGGGTTTACCGAGACTGCCATTTCAGTAGTAAAGTGGGTCTACCTCTGAGATAGCTAGTGTGACCACATACACGCTCAGGGGATATGCTTAGTAACAGTCTAGATTTCCCTTTTCATTTAAGTAAAATCTGGTGACTACTGTTGAAAATAGCATTTGTATTTAGTTTGAGAGTATAGAAAACGAAATATTAGAAAATTCTTCCATGACCTGAGAAATTCTTTTTTTACTACTTTATAAACAGTAGTACTTTAAGATTATAATGGCAAGCTGTGACTTAAAGGAGATTTTAAAGAATTTTACAAACCCCAGGATAACCAAACTCGTAAAAAAAAAAATACTGTGGCTTATCTGTTTAATTCAAGATGAGTGCTAAATTTATAATGTTATAGAATGCTTATGATAGAAAATATAGTAAAAAATTGAGGACTTGAAAGTTATATTTAGTAGAATGTGAATATTGCTCTTGAAGCTCATGCAAATGCTTGTTAATTTTTTTTTTTTTAGGCTGGGCCATGCAAGCTGCTGCCTTTATCTTCATTCATAGGAAGTGGAAGGATGATAAGAGCCATTTTGAAGACATGATTGATTATTTTTGTGACATTCATGAACCACTCCAACTTCTCATCTTTCCAGAAGGAACTGACCTCACAGGTGAGGCATCTGGGGTTTGGATCACAGAATTTAAAACCTTATAAACCACTAGTTAAATTTTTTAATCCTAACGTGAGATATGTGGCTATCAATAAAAATAATGGATGACCCCAAGGTCACTCAGTTAATGGTACCCAAACCAGACATGGTGGTACAATCCTAAAGGTCTAGCTACTCATGGGAATGATGCAGGCAGATCACAGGTTTAAACCAGCCACAGCAACTCAGTGGTCAGTGTCTCACCATACACAGTAACGTGATGCCGTGAGTAATGCTCAGTGGTAGACTGCCAGGAGGCCCTGGTCCAGTTCAGGTACCGTGGGTGAGGGAAGACCAAAGAGAAAGGACATTTGTAAAATAGAGTTTTATGCTGGGTGATAGTGACACACACCTTTAGTCCCAGCTTTCAAGAGGCAGAGATAGGTGGATCTGTGAGTTCAAGGCCAGCCTCACTCAGACCAGGCAAGTGACTACTACAGAGCTATGTACCCAGCTCTACATGATTATTTCTGTGAGGTAGAATGATACTTACATTGTAGGGCCAGTTTGCAAAAGCCGTGTTTCTTGTATAGAGAAAGTAGACTGGTCAGGGAGCTTTAAGGTATTTTTATAAAACCAACATCTACAGATGATTTTTATTGAGTTGGGGAAACTTCTCCCTTCCTCCCTTCTTCCCTCCCTTCCTCCCTCTCTCTCCCTCTCTCCCTCCTTCCTTTCTTTCTCCCTTTCTATTTAATGGGCTAGCAAAAGTATTTCAATAATTTAATTTAAAAGTATTTTTTAATTATTAGAGTTATCTTTAAATTTAGATTTGTTTAAAACTGTATTACAGCATTTATATTTCACTTTAAATTCTGAAACTAGTTTGCTTGCATATTTTTAGATTAGTGTGTTTCACTGTGACTTTATATGTTCTGGCTTCATATACTATAATTGGTTATAACTTTTTGTTAAGGGGCAGTGTATATTGGGGAATTTAAAAACACAAAAGTATACACAAAGGTTGCTGTAATCCCACAACCCATGGATGAACACAATTTGAAATTTTGGTCCATTTGGACTGTTATTTGGTCACAGGTACACACGTACACACACATTTTTAGGAATATGTGTATGTGCACACCAGCTCCTGTTTAACCTTAAAACTGGCAAACAGACCATGCTCTTCTTTGTCTGTTTCAGTTCTCCCTCAATATTGTGATCTTTCCCATGTCTGTCCTTGAGAAGATTGGGGGGTCTTTAGGTTTTATGTTATGTGTTGGGGTCTCTAAAGAAAGGATTTTTGCGATATGCTTGAGCAGACATTAAGGTTTGCTCTAAGGGAGTAGTTGACCTGGCAAGTGGTTGAGCTCAAGGAGGAGGAGCAGCTGAAGACCAAGGTGCCTGCACGCGAAGTTCCCTTCCTTATAGGCATGTAAAGTAAGGAGACCCTTGTTTCTAAGACCTTTGATTATATGAGATCTATCGCATTATGGAGTTAGTAATCTGCATTACTACTCTACTGACTGAACTATTAATCCTGCCTGAAAATACCCTGAAAACCTCTAGAGCAAATGTTTGTGCTGTCCTAGTTTCATTTCTCTTGTTATGATAAATAGCCTAACTAGTTGAAAGCAGCTTGGGGAGAAATGGGTGTACATCAGCTTACAGTTGCAAGTCACAGTCTGTCACTGTGTGGCTGTCAGGTGAGGACCTTTAAACAGTCAGTCACACTCACAGTCAGATAGGAAGAGAATAATGCATCCTTGCCTGCTTGCTGTGAGCTAGTTTTCTTGTCCTATTGTTCAAGAACCCCTCTCCAGGAGATGATGCCACCCAGAGTGGGTGGTAGTCCACCTGACATCACAGATCTGTATAATTCCTCTTTAAGAGTTTCCAGGTGTGTCCTCCAGGTTGTGACAAGGTGACAGTTAGACACTGACAGGTGCTGCTTTGTCAGGGTTACACAGAATTAACCGTCACAGCGGTAGGGTGTAATTTTGAGTTCCATTTTCTTAAGTTGGAAAGGAAAACTATTTTTGGTTTAACAACATTACATACAATTGGACACTCTTCTACATAGTTTCTTTAGTAGATATCTTAGTGTCTGAAACTTTGTATGCAAAATTAATTCCCTTCCTTGGAGCTTATTTTTGATGAGGAATAAGCTAATAATATGTACAGATGTTATAAGAGTTTGTGTAGAAAACTAAAGCAGGGTGGGTAGATAGAGAGCAAAGGAAGGGAGCAGGGTTCTAGTCGTAAGGTGGTCAGGGCAAATCTCTGTATTGTGTTTCTGTTTAAGTGGGGATCATATGTACAAGGTAGAAGATGCATCTGCAGCAAGAGGCTTTCTGGGTAATTGAATAACAGCTGCATAGGCCTGAGGTTGGAACATGCCCGGTTGGCTTGAGAAGATCGCTGGCAGTCCTGTGGTATGGGTGGGAGCAGTACTGGAGTGGGAAAGTTGCAGGGAGTGATCTGACAGGAGGCTGCGGTTGGAAAATGGGATGCTAGTGCAGTTACTAATAATGATAGCCTGGGAATGGGTGGATGGAGGGAGGTGGAGGGAATATCGCCACACTAGTTTGTCTGATTATTTCCAACTTCCTACAGTGTGACTGTATATTTTAAAGTTGTGTATGTTTATATTCATATCTGGAACAGAATTCAGTTATACCTAAGAATCTCCAGAGTTACTAACAACTGGAAAACCAACTGCTTCTTTCTCTGATGACTCTGGTACTTCTAATCTCATCTAAAGTCCATCAATTGGCTGTAACAGAAGTGCTGTTTTATAGCCCTGTGCCCAGGATATTCACAGACTAGTAGAGAAGAGCTTTCTGATGTTCATGTCCAGTGCCTTTCCCTTTAACTGCTGGGGAAGCTGTGGGCATTTGACTCGGTGCCTCTTTGAGAACTGACAGAGTGTCTGCTGGATCTCGTATTGTGGGGTGCACCTGTGGTTGGTGTGGGTTGGAGAACTCACCAGCCTAAGCTTACTCCGAGGAACGTATTTTTGTAGATATTTTTCTTGTACTAGTGTACAAGTTTCCAGATAGAGCTGAAGTACAGACCCTAACATTTGCTGTCATCAGAACATATTTCATGATCTCCAGTCAAAGCCAAATTTTTGAACACTTTATTTTCCAATTGTATTTGCTGAATAATGAGTTTGGTTCTTCTTGGAATTTGTAAAGTGACCTCATGGAATGGAAAAAAAAGTTATTGCCAACAATTGGAATATATACTTGTCTCTGTAACTATATTCAGCCAAACCATGTTCAGATGTTTGTACATGATGTGCTAATCATGTGCTGTTTTGTTGTGCAGTGGTTTTGGTTAGTAATATTAGTCATTCTGCTTGAGCAAGGCAGATATTTCACTTTGAAAGCCTAAATTACTGGGTTAAAGAAAACGTTGATCTGATATATTTGATTGCTGGTTATTTCTTCTGGATGTCTAAATCCTTGTCTTTTGTTAGTTTTCAGCTTTATTAGCATTTTATATTGTATTTGAACTTTTATTATTTAAGAATTTTATTATTATTGGTGGTGCTGGGGATTGAACCTAGCATGATAGTAGACAAGAGCTCTATCACTGAGATACATCCTCATCTCACATAAAGTTTATCTTTAATGAAAATTTTAGCTTATTAGTGTTTTGGTTTTCTATATCTCAATTTTCATTACATCTTGGCTTTTGTGAAGTCTTCTAAATGATTTTAAAGTTTGGGATATAAATGTAAGGGAACTTATTAAGGTTCTGTTCATAACATATATTCACATATATCCACACATATATCAGTAGATTGAGATTTTTGTAAGGGATTATTGCAAATGTTTGTATTTTGGGGCTGGAGAAATGGATCAGTGGTTAAGAGCATTTGATACTCTTGTAGAGGACCTGGTTTGGTTTCTGGCACCCACATGGCTGCTCAAATCTTTTAACTCCAGTTCTTGGGACTCTGGTGTCCTCTTCTGGCCTTGTTGGGCATTGCACATGTTGGTAACATATTCAGGCAAAGCACTCATACACATATTCAAAATGTTTGCAACATCTTTGTATGCTGTCTGTAACAATGTAATATGTAAGTGTATTTTTGGGGGAGGCACGTTCTCACTATTAGTCCTGGCTGGCCTATAATTTACTATGTAGACTAAGCTGGTCTTGAACTAAAGATCTGCCTTCCTCTGCCTCTTGAGTCCCGGGATTGAAGGTTTGCTTACAATGCCTGGTCATAAGTGCTATTTTTATCCAAGAAATTCTTCATATTTTTCTGCACCTAACTATCTTCCTTAATGTTATAACTTTTATTTTGTCTGTTATTTTGTTTAGAAAACAACAAGACTCGGAGTAATGATTTTGCTGAGAAGAATGGACTTCAAAAATACGAATATGTCTTACATCCAAGAACTACTGGCTTCACTTTTGTGGTGGACCGTCTAAGGGAAGGTCAGTGCTGCTCTTCAAATGTGTTCTAAACCCAATGTGGCACATTCTTCTGAGCTTTATGTGCAGCTCTGACGTCTAGTGAGGCACCTTAGGACCATGCTGATCTGTGACTAACAGTTACCTTCCTCCTCTAACTGCTACATGCCACAAAGCCGCCTGTGTCCAACATGAAAGGCCTTGAAACATTATGGGAGAGAAGGTCCATTTCTTTCCCTAAATGGCATCTCTGCTCTGAGTCTGATGTGCTTTAAGATGCATAGTACAATCCACTAAAACAAAGCTTCTTTACATCTAATTACCATGATTTTGAAGAATGTTTGGTACTGGTTCAAAATCACATTGGGATGGTAAAACCAAAACTGTGCATGATTATTTTTGAAATTCTATGATTATAACTAATATGATGTAGTCTTGTGGTTTTGACTTCCACTTTGCCAGTAAACACTGTGTGCCTTGCCTGTCTACATGTAGAAGTTCATAAGTGGGGTTCTTCATGTCTGTGGAAAGTGGTGCAAAGGCACTCAGGTGGTGTGCTCACACTTGTGTGTTCACTCTTGTCTCATCTCTCATCTCTCTGATCTAACACCATTTTGGTATCTAACTTAGACTCAACAACATGGTTTCTCTTGTATGTAGTTAGTAATTTCTTTAAAAGTATATGTGAGGGACTGGAGAGATGGCTCAGAGGTTAAGAGCACTGGCTGCTCTTCCAGAGGTCCTGAGTTCAATTCCCAGCAACCACATAGTTGCTCACAGCCATCTGTAATGAGATCTGGTGCCATCTTCTGGCCTGCAAGCATACATGGAGGCAGAATGTTGTATACATAATAAATAAATAAATCTTTAAAAAAAATAAAAGTATATGTGACACCAGGAAACATCATAAAAATTTTTCAAATGACATTGTGACATATCTTTTACTTAAAAGATCATCCCTGATATAGCAAGATAATGGAGAGATTATTTTATAGTTGGTCAGAATATATTATGTTCTCTGTTCTGAAATCCAGCAACCTGATAACTTTGTTGCACACTTGGGAAACGTATATTGTTTGGTTGTCACTCAGTAGTCAGTAGTCACATGTAATAATTTTTTTCTGCCGGAACTGTAAACCGATCCCCTAAACCCTATGTATCAATAGAGAGAGAGAGAGAGAGAGAGAGAGAGAGAGAGAGAGAGAGAGATTCAGATGATCTCATTTGCTGTATTTAGCAAACCAGGTGATAATTCTGTTTATTTCATTTAGAATTGTAGACTAGAACCTGTACTGACAAAGAAACTTGGTGATGATTGTTACAACAATAATAGCACTGACGTTGAGTGTTTACAAGTACCAGGCATTACACTAAATATTCTAATGTCTAATTCAGTTCCTCCTCACAAGCCTCCAGAGCAGTTCGCATTATCACACAAAACGAGGGCAGGCGGCAGTGTGAAGAGTCACCTGTTAGCGCTGAATAGTGCTGAATTGAGTAGCATGTACTTCTCCATCTAAACTATAATTGTAGTTAGCCTCCAAACCACAAAACACTGTCGTAACAAGAGTGAGCTGGGTGGTTTTATGAGAGGATTTAAAAGAAAGAAAGAAAGGCAAAAAGAGGCTAGATGGCCAGGTAATGGAAGGATGATGGTCACAGGCAGGTGTTGGGATGCTGTGTGATGTGACAGGAGGAGCAGGTACAGACTAGGGAGGCACAGCTTACAGTGTTGAGACAGATTTAGTTTCTTGGGAGGAGATGGAGTTCAAAAGAATAGAGAGTAAGATCTGCACTAGAGTTCAGCAGCGAAGAGGATCTTAGAGTCTAGAGTATTCCTTTAGAAAAGAAATAGAAGACTCAAAAGGAGGCCCAGCCTAGCTTTCAGATCTGCTTTTGATAGTACACTGTGAAAGGAAAGCTTTCTGCTACACCAGATGACCTTATAATTAGTATCCCAGTAGAGCATAGAGACTGCACAGTCAAACAAGTCTCCATAAAGTGCCACCTTTGTGGTTCTCATAGACAGCAGAGGCAGGCAAACATGAGTTCAGAACAGTAGGAGCTAAAGATAAAGCCAGAACAGACATTATTGAGGAGGCGAGGAAGGAGAGCAAGGAAGAGGAGCCCACGTCTCTCTTTAGACTGTTTATCAGAACTGAGAATACTTGGAAATCTCAAAATGTAACACTAATTATGTAATGCTTTACAAGTAGGTTGTTTCTGTCATAGTAATTGCAGGTAAAGATTCTTTCAGTGCCTTAATGTTTACCATCAGTGGACTTGCTTTATAGTCTTGCTGGAATCTTTCTTCCTTGGGGATGTGAAATTGCCCTGCAAATGGAGATAATCAGTATTTAGTTTGATGCATCTTTAAAAAAAAGTCCCCAAAAGTAATAAAAAGTAGTGTCCTAGCATGCTTCTTAGAACATTATATCTTACACTGGTAGGTATTTGTTATGGGTGATTCATATGGACTCCTAATCATAGAACCTTTCAATATATGATCATTTTTGTTTCTTTTTTAAATACCAAAATAATCCAAACTGAAAAATAGTTAACAATTTAGATGAAAGAGGCTTCATTCTTTGTTCTAGTTATCACTTATAATAAAAAGTATAATGTAATCTTAAATCTTGAAACCATCACCCCCAAATACTCTATTCATTATAATCTCTGGTGATTTTTAATTTTTATTTTACATTTGATCCAACCATTATAACTTTGGCATAGATGTGCAGTTGCAATAATCATGTTCACCGTTAGGAAGCACAGGTGTTGTCATTTGAAAACACTGAGTTGTGTTGAAACAACCTGGAAATACGGTTAGCCTGACTATGCAGGGGAAGGAGATGGAAACATTTGTTTTTAAGGTATGGTCCAGTTTGAGATAGAACTTTGTCTTCAAGAAGCTTATAGTCTTAACAGATAGAGATAATAGTGAAAGATGTCTAAATTGACATGTATGTGAAGTGCTAAGTTTTATGCAGATATTATGCTAAATAGTAGGAAGAGTACTCATTGAAGAGGGTACTGAAGATTCATCTGTGACTTCTATTAGAAGCTGAATTTCTCTTGAACACTAGGGACTGTGTGGCCTGGAAAGGCAGAAAGAGCATTCATGGATGAGGAAGTACAAAGAAGGGCCAGCGTGGACCCAACAGTCACCTTGCAGACATCAGTGTGGGAGCTGAAACAGCTTGTAGAGTAACACTCAGTACTTTAAATGTTGTCTGGAGGCCAGCTGTTAAAAATGTAATACCTCAAGAGTCATAACTTAGTCTTTTAATAGGTTGAGTCACCAAGCAAGTTGGCGTATCCATTGAGATTACAAATGATCATGTAGATATGCTTAAGTTTTAGATTTGAAATCAGTCATTTTAAAACTTAAAACAAGTCCATATTTCTGTTTATACTTAGGTCATATGCATAAAAATCTACATAGGAAGAAATGAAGAATATAGCTTTTCCATGAACCTGGGTGGCACTGAGTTAACCACTAAAGTAAAAAGTAAATTCTCATTGGATAATTTGGATCAGCCCATTTAAAAGAGAGAGCCCTTAGATTAGTTCAGAAAAAGAGAATTGCTGACTTTAACACTGGATTTTATGGATATTTGATATCTGCTGGCCCTGTGTCTGGCTCTCTTGCGTTGGTTTCTGTAGCCCTCCTTTGCTATGAGAAAACTGCAAGCAACGTTGTATATTCATAGGCAGCTCAGGCTTCAGCAACATTGGGGGGACTTTAACTTCTTGAACTGGAGGCTAGATTTGCACCTAGCTGCCGACAGTCTATTGCTGCAGTGGCTTAGTATAGGGAAGGAGTAAAGCCAGCAGAGGTCAGCACCCTGTGCAGCAAACATTCCATTTATTTTAGGCAGTGAGCCTCTTCCAGGATGGAATTTCAGCCATCCTTCTCAGCAGCATGTGAAAGATGGCAAGGAAGACAGGCAGGCATATAAACAATTAAAATACTGAGGGCATTAAATACCATGCACTCTGACCTTTCATGGCACTTTTCTTAATTGCCGAGAGCCATTTATAAATATGCCAAGACCTTTCCGCTATGTTAAAAAATGTGATTGTACAATAGACTTTTGACATTTGCAAGAATATTTTCTGAGACCTATTCTGCTTCCCCACATTTGCAGAGCTCTTTGGAGACTGGCAGTGATGCGTCAGTGCAACACCACCTAAGAGATTTATGTGCTCACCATTGGGGTGAGCACACAGGCCACATAAGTGACTTGTGATTTTTACTTTGTGAATGGTTCTTCTGTTTTCGTTGTTCATTTTAACTCCTGACTATAGCAAAACAAACACAAAGAAAAATACCTGAGCTTTTCATTGTAGATATAGATCCTGTCTTTATTTTTTAATGAGCCAGTTTATGACAGCCTTTATTAAAAACGATGGACGGCATATATATGAAACAGCCACCTAACATTAACAGGTGCTGTCATGTTCCAGGTACAGGGTCATACATGATTTCCCTTACCTTGCCTGTGGAGTACAATCAGTTGTGCTGCTTTTTACAAACATAGTCACTTGGCTTTAGGCCCAGACCGACTGACTCTGTCTGGTGGTGCCATCGTGGGTTCATAGTCCCCAACCTACTGCCATACATGCTACCTAATCCTCCCAACTGAGCCATGTGCCATAGTCATACCTGTACAGACAGTCTTCCTTCAGCAGCTTGTCTGGGGTTGTGGGTGAGAAGAAAGATCATAATTTGAAATTATGCTTGTTTCATGCTAAAGCTCATGCACTCCTGCACTCCTAGGTATAATAAGTTCCCAGTTGTTCTGCTACACATACTACAAAACTTGTGCCTGTAGCAGCCCTCCAAGCTTTCACGCTGAGCTCCTTGGATGTATTATGAATTTTGTTTAAGCGTGAGAGAGAGAGTGTATGTGTAGGGTTTTATAGTAACTTGTTTTGTCTGATTCCTTTATTTACCAACTCCATCTCTATTTCTCTGAGGGTCAGTGAACATTTGGAATGGAATAGTCTTATTTTAAAAT